TATTTATTTATTTATTTATTTATTTTTATTGTCAAAGGATATATGCATTCAACCAGAGAGCGAAAACAGACAGGAGAGAGAAGGGAAGAAAGCAACTCCCCAGTGGGGGATGGTCATGCCAAAGCGCTTTTTTTTGCCTCCATTTCTCCACCCTGTGAAGATTTTAGATATGTACTCACATGGCACCCAGCATTTTTTTCAAGTCACCAGGACTGGGATTAGAACTGTAGTCAGTCATGTGGGCTCTGGTTTCTAATGCATAGACTAGAAACTAGTCTAATACGTAACCACTTACTATGGCACTAGCTACTAAAGTTTACTACATACACACACACACACACACACACACACACACACACACATATATATATATATACATACATACATACATAGGGGGCCAACAGATGGGATAGCAGTTGCATCACTGGACTCCCACATGGCCAACTATGGTTTAAGTCCCAGACTTGGTGGCTTGAAACTCACACTGGGTACATATGAATGAATCCCCAAGATCCCGGAAGGCGAATGGAGGAGAAGGGATTGTGGTGTGGCCATCCCCCCCCTTGAGGATGATCTCTCACTTTCCCTCTCACTGTCTCTGTCTCTCTCTCTCTGTCTCCATCAAGTGCAGACACCCTAAAGCACAACCTCTCAAAAAATATATATATACACACACATATACTATTATATATTATATATATGCTATATATGTGTGTATACAGATATATTTTATATATACATAATAGTAGAATAATTCCTATCTCTAGTAACATTTTATTACTTTTTATATGTTTTTGTAATTTTTTATCTTACAATTTTAGTTCAGAGACATTATGAAGCCCTAATAACTTATAATGAGATTGATTTTCATGTTAAAGGTTTAATTTCCTATATGTCATTATTTCTTAATCATTAGCATATCACAATAGATCCTGGGAATATTTACTATTTTGTCATTTATTTACCAGTTTATTTTAAGAGAAAATCCAAAACTAAAGCAGAACCACAGATTTATTTTCTCTTTAAATAGTTATTGTAATTTATGATTTATATATAATCATTACACATCTCTATAGGGTACAGGATGGTCTTTAAAAATATGTATGCAGTGTGTAATAAACAAATCAAGGATATAAACATATTCACCACCCTCAACATTTAACATTGTATTATATTGTGAACATTCAAAACACTCTCCCATGGTTATTCTGCAAGTATAAACTGAATTGTCTATGCCAGAACACTAATTTTAACCGACAAATGAAAGTCTATGACTATTACCACCCAGAGAGACCTGTTCAAATTTTATTTTAGCCTCAAATATAGGTACAGTTAAAGACTGATTTTTAGTTATTTACTGTGATCCTGACACGAAAGCCACAATTTGTTCTGAAAACTTGTTACCTGCACCAATTTTCTCTTTTGAGAGACACATGTAGAATTGAATTTGCTAGACAAGAAATTGTTCCTCTTTAAAAATAATGTTAGGGGCCAGATGGTGGGGCAGCAGTTAACACCCTGCAGGGCTGACCCACACGAGAAGATCGTGAGTTTCTATCCGGAGACCTCTTTGTACAGTGTGTACACACGCCCACAATCTCAGGTTGGCTGAGGCTGGAGGTGAATCCAAGTGTGAAAACCCTGTTGAGGGTGTGCTCTCTGTCTCTCTCACACATGGAAGAAATAAGTAAACATTTTCTAAAATAAATAAATAAATAAACATGATGTTAAATGATGTATACTTTTATTTGAAAATAAGACTTTATTAACATGAAGTGAACTGTAATAGCAAAGGCTACCCAGGGGCCATAGATATTAATTCTAGATATTCTTATAGTCGTGATTTTTGCTTAATTGAAATAAAAAGGAAGGTATAGAATGGGCTAAATTCTCATGCTCTGAGTAAAATACAGCTTTCTTATACCTTTATCGTTTCGATACCTGCCTCTTTCTTTCATATTACAAAAGTTCAAGATAATTTTGACTCTTTTTCAAACATGATGCTATGAACAGACTTCATTAAAAAAAATAGTGAATTTCTTGGTAAAATATTTTGATAGAGAATCCCCCCATCCTGGAAAATTTCAAGAGAAAGTTCACTTTCTTAAAATTTAATCTATAATTTCAGTTGTATGATCTTAACTTAAAAAACAAAATGTTCTATATTAAATCAATGGCAATATGACACCAGTACATTTAGGAACGTTTATCATTTGCACTACTCTCTGCTGCTCAGCTTCCCCTTCGTAATTTTTTAACACATTTATTTCGATTTAGAAACAAAAACAGATCTAAAGTAGAGCAAGACCAACAGATTGACTCAGAGAGAGAAAGTATTTAGAGACTGACTGTATTGAAGAGGCACTAATCTCAAGCAGACAATAGATTTTTAGGTACCGAGACAAGATGTACAATTCCAAAGGTGGGTAAAATGAATTAAATGTCAGCACAAATTTTTTTCAAGAAAAATAGTCCATATTTTTCTTTTGAAAAATTTGCACAGTGAGGAGTAAATGTAGGTGTTCACAAAAGAAAAAGTGCCAAATCTTAGCTTGCCTGCGTAGAAAATGATTTGCTTTCTACTTAACCAGGGCATTGTTAGAATCCCTGGTGTGTGGTCTTCTAATAGTACTTTTGTCCCGTGAATGATGACATGGAAATATTGATGCTATGTAAAATGGCAAAAACGGTAGAGAAAGTTCTTCCACACTGAGTATGAGAGCTATTTTGAATCCATTTAGAATTACCCCCTAGTCATTAGCTCATCGGCATCTGAAAGGGGAGTTGAACATAGTTCTGACCTTGTTCAGTGTAACATTTAAAAAGGTTAAGTCTTAGATCTGGTGGTATTTAAGATACTTACCTGTAAATGCTTTTGTAATCTACGCTTATGAAATTCTTCCTAATGTTGAGGCAGGTGGCTGATACCTTGAATAAATAGATTAAAATTTGAAGGAGACCTGTACAGCAACCGGTAGCTGAGAAAAGGGAAAAAAAAAATTTTTTTAAAGAGATTTTTGCTATAAGGCACAATGTGTGCTGCCAGAGAGACAGAAAGTGAGAAATCACCCCCAGGGGAATGGCCAGGCCTCAATCTCTTCACCATGCTCCTCTTGGGATTTTGGGCACACACCCCCTCTGTGAGTTTAAGCTGCCGGTCCAGGACTCGAACCATTTTGACTGCATGTGAGTCCAGTGATGATGTAACCATTTTGCCATCTGCTGGTCAAAAAAACCTTTTTTTAAAAGGAAAAGAGGAAAGATTATAATTGAGGAAAAAAGAGACATATCAGAGAGAAAAAGGTTAGGAAAAAAAGGCAAGTGGACAAAAATCAGAAAAATGGGTCCTATGTGGAAGCAGATACACTTATTCAATATATTGGGTTGTCTGGAAAGCTATGACATATTTTGCATAGAAAAACATAGAAAAATGCATCATGACTTTCCTGATGGCCTAATATTATACTATAATAATTATTCACTTGTATTTCAATTTCTTAAAGGAAATATTAAAGGTATTTCAAAATTTACTATTCATAAAATTTATTTTCTTTTTCCTTCATAGATGGTTATGTGCTTCGGAGTTATCTGGTGGACAAGTAAGACCATTTCTCTTTGATCTTTTTCTTTTCCTTTTTTTCCCCTTCTTTTTCTTCTTAATTGCCAGAGAGCATGTACACTCATCAGAGACAGAGAGAAAAAGGTAGGGAGACACAGAGAAAGTAACCTCCAATGGGGTGTAGTCATGATACAATCCTTTTTCCTTCATTTCTCCATCCTATCAGGTTTTTGGGCATGAGCGCACGCACACACACACACACACACACACACACACACACCCCTGGTACATTTTTCAGGCTTTTGGGATCAGGATTCAAACTGTGCTTGGCCATGTGGGATTTGGCTCCCTTAACCACTGGACTAGGAAATTAGCCTTAAGTCCATTTTCTACTACATCATTTATATATTAAAAAAAGAAAAGAAAAGAAGAGAAGAGAAATTGTGTGTTTTACTGTAAAAAAGATTCTCGGTATCATTTAAATATTTAACCTACTGAATTATTATAAATAAATTTTAAAACTATGCTATTCTAATACCAATATGGTAGTATCCATAATAAAATTAGTGTTTTCATGAAATGCCACTTTTAATAGGCAGGAAGCCCTTTTCATTTATGATTATACAATTTATAGTTTTATATACTCGCTGAGATCTTCACTCAGCAAACACTGAAGACAGGTCAAAACCACTAACTCATAGGGAACCAGCAGTTAGCGTAATGGCTATGTCGCTGGACTTCCATGTAGTCGACCGTGGTTCGCGTCCCGGACCCGGTGGCTTAGAACTCACACTGGGCACGTGTGCGTGCATGCCCAAGATCCCGAGAGGAGAATGAAGGAGAAGGGATTGCGGCATGACCATCCCTTCTGGCGGGTGATTTCTCGGTTTCTGTCTCTATGTCTCTCTCTGTCTGGGGAGCGCACACGCCCTATAGTGAAAACCTCTCCAAAAACTACTAACTCATTCATTAGTACTATACATTTCACTGATCATTGCTGTTGGTTCGGATGAATTAAATAGGGCTCAATTAGTGTCTACACAGTAAGTACTAATATCACCTGTTAACAGTAGATAGTTCAGCCCCTAATGAGGGCTTTTCTTCACTCACCACACCAGGCATAGCAGGGTATTATGTTGTCTTTTTTAGAAGCATGCCAGGAAAAAAAAAAAAAGAGAGAGAGAGAGAGAGAGTAGTCAATGATTCTTGTATTCTTATGAATAAGATGTTGTCACAGTCTGTCACAGTCTGGTACTAGTGCACCGGTAGAGTCCCCCCAAAGCTGTAAGATTCTCTTCTGACTAACCCAGTACAAGAAATGAACTACATTGTCAGAGTAGGCCACATATCAATGAGCAGAATTACGGAATTCTGCATAAAGAAAAAAATCAAGGCATACACACAGATTGTGTATCCATGAGCAACCTGACGCTGATCAGAAGAAGACAAATCCATGTTAAGAGCTCTGTCAGCAAACTAGGAAAGAGCCAAAAAATAAAAATAATCATAATACCTTTGTTTTCCTCGGAGCCTTAATCACTGTGATAGGCATGGGACTTCTCATTAGGTTTTGTTCTATGAAAAGTACAAATTTTAAGGAGAATGTGTGACAAATAATAGGCCACCATCTTCATCAATGATTATTACAGGATGATTAAGAAAGAATTTAGAAAGTATACTTTCTACATAATTATTGGTTCACCACCTATTGACATGAGTACTTAATAAATGTTTATTGAAAAAAATGACAGGAAAATCTGTCCTCTTTGCACGTGTGTGTCAGATTCCTATTAGCTAAGCCCCCCCCCCCCCCCCCCCCGCAGAAAAACTACAACTTCTTCGTACCCACCCCCCCCCCCCCCCCCATTCTCAGAGAAAGGATCCTAACAGAAGACTTAGGGAGCGCGCAGCATCTGCCATAGTTGGCAGGAATCTGAAGGGCCTGCTGCTGCTTCCTCAAGACAGCACAGAGACAGCGCAGGGTCCAAGAGTGGGTCTGAGCTAAGCAACAAAGCCACCTTACATTTCCCAGCTTTGGAACTGAATCCTGTATTTCCAGGCTGTGTTAATATTTATTAAACTTCCTATTTTTATTATCTATGTGTCACCCGCACTCTCAGTAGAGTATAAACTGCTTAAAATCAAAGTTGTGTCTCGGTCATGTGTATTCCTGGTACACTGAAGGGATTCAATATGTTAGAGATTGTTTCACAAAGATCAGGACCAGGCAAAACCTAGTAAAAGGGGCCAAAACTACTATTATGAATGTTGTCTATAAGCATAAATAATATTTGTAGAATTATATGTAATAGTAAGAAACGTCATAAAATTATATCTTGGCTACTTATATCATAACTAATATTTACATATTTTATAATCAATATTTACATATTAGAATTAGAAAATTCTGTATTCATTTCCTATGCTAAATATGATTGCATTTCACTCAATGTTTGCAATTTAAGTAAAGGTGTAAGTCTGATATTGGCGGGACAAGCAGATGGTATAAAGGTTATGTCACTGGACTCCCACGCCGTCGATCGTGGTTTGAGTCCTGGACGTAGCAGCTTTAAACTCACACTGGGTATGTGTGTGTGCGTGCCCAAAATCTGAGAGGAGAATGGAAGAGAAGGGATTGCAGCATGGCCATCCCCCCCTGGGGTGGGGGAGATTTCTCACTTTTCTCACTTTCTGTCTCTGCCTCTCTCTGGCAAGTACACTCTCCCTATGGCAAAAAAAAAAAAAAAAAAATCTGATATTGGTGGATGTTAAAATGAATTACACTTTTAAATTAAAACCAATGAAGAAAAGAAGGAAAGAAAGGAAATGCAATGAGTATTGGTCCACAACTTGTTCAGTTTGTTCAGCTCAACAAACATTTCTTATGCGCGAAGCTCCTAGGAGGGTGTAAAGATGAACAAGGCCCAATCTGTACTTGAGGCATGTTTCGATTCTTTGTTTAGAATGAAACAGAGGATTAGATAAGTCAGTGAAAGAAAAGACAGATAAATATGACATTTCTTTTCCCTGATAAGAATGTGTAAAATGTAATTTCTCATCTTCATAGCCTTGATTGTGTAATGTAAAATCATATTATTAACTTTTTCTTCTAAATGTTGCTTTAATGTTCAGAAACCATCTTCTCTAAAATAAAAACTATCTTCTCTACTTACAGTGATGGAGAGATCTATGATGATATTGCTGATGGTAAGTCTAATATAGCACCCAGCAGAGAGGACAGCAACTGTGAATTTACTGTTTCTACAAATACTAAAAATTTCTTACTGAATTAATTAGACCTTTCCAATCTGATCAGAATTTGAATCACTTGACAAAGTTAGGAAATATAACTCCCCTAGTATAAAAAGAAAAAAATATATTATTTTCACATAGGAATCAAGGGGGAAAAAATTCTTATTTCTTTTCAATGAAAAGAGAAGTATAAAAATATTTGGTGAATTATTTATTGTACTATGAATCTTAGGAATTTCATTTCACCTAATAAATGTGAATGCTTCATCAATAATTACATACTTATTTTATAGCCAATAGTGCTTCACAGACATTATTAAATATTTCTAAATTATGATCTAAAAAAAATGAATCTCAACTGAAATGGAGCATAGTGCTAATCATATTGCCTTTTAACTTTTGATTACTATTTTTACTGATCTTTCATATTTTCAATTTCATTTAGAATGACTACAAAAAAATACATTTAATTATGTGCCAAATAATGTAACCTTGGTTCTCACTTGCTAGAGAATAAATATGTCCAGAAATTCTGATGCCATTAATATGCTAAACAAGGAAGTTGAATATATGACCTTTCATTTAACTAGCTTTTCATAAAGTAAACCAGTTCAGTTAGTGTAATGGCTATGTCACTGGACTCCCACGTAGTCGACCGCGGTTCATGTCCCGGCCTGGTGGCTTAAAACTCACACCGAGCGCGTGTGCGTGCATGCCCAAGATCCCGAGAGGAGAATGGAGGAGAAGGGATTGCGGTATGACCATTCCCCCTGGGGGATGATTTCTCGCTTTCTGTCTCTCTGTCTCTCTGTCTGTCTGGAGAGCGCACGCACCCTATAGCGAAAAACCTCTCCAAAAAAATAAAAAATAAAAAAATAAAGTAAACCAGTTCTACTTTTTTTAAGATCCTAAAGCCACATTTCCAACCTCGTAATACTTAGAGACTATGTGTTTTATATAACTATATTTAAATTTGTATTTTTTTTTCCTTTCAGGTTGCATCTATGACAATGACTAGCACTCAGCTTTGGTCATTCTGCTGTGTTTGTTAGTTACCAAGATAAAGTCTGGCTTTTAGTTGTCGTATGTTATTGGGTATCAAAGAAAATGAATGCATAAGCTATTCATTACCATTTGTTATGAAATTCTGATTATTTTATAAAGTTTTGAACTTAGAAAATGATCTCTTTGTTTAATCACTATCTCAGGAGACTGTATTAATAAGATATAATAATTATTAAATATTCCATTTTTGCTACAATTGTAAAGGTATTTATTTTAGACCATCAATAAATAATTTCCTTCCCCCACAAAAGAAGAAAGAAAAATCAGTCCATAAGAAGTGACTGTCTTGTCAAGAAAAAAAAAAAAGAAAAAAGAAAGAAGAATATAGAATATAAGGAAAGAAATTTTAAATCATCTCACAAGAATGCAAGCTATTGTTTGTGGCTCTAATTAAGATAGTATCCTATACTATTTATTCAAATTACCTATTTTTTAAAAAGGCAGAGCTGTCTCCTCTCCTAGGTAGGTTAAATGTTTTTGAAAATTATAGCAGTAGCAGAACTTTTATATAAACTCAGTTTCTATTTTTAAATTATGAATATATGTTAATTATTTGATAAGAATATTATGCATTTAGTATGCACATCTAAGATGAAACTGTGGAAGAATCTAAAATAAGTTTCCTTTTTACATATTCACATACTAACAGTTTAAATCTATACTCTGTTAAAGTATGACTATAACTAGAGCAGATATGAATGGGGAGTACCCTAAAATTAGGAAATATGCAAAAATGGACCTTGAAACGAACTAGTCTTTTATGGCCCCTCTTTACTATAAAAAAAGTTTTCATTTCAAAAACAATCCATTACTGTTTTAATTTTATTTATTATGATTATTATTATTATTAATTTGACTAGAAAGAAAGGGGTAGTGAGAAAGCAAGCCACCAGGTCCGGGACGCAAATGGTGGTTGACCATGTGTGAGTCCAGAACCCTAACCACACAGCTGCCAGCCCCCACAAATATACTTTTACAAGGTTTTGTTTTTGCTTTTGTTTTCAATTATCTAAAAAAAAAAAAAAAAATGTTAACCACTCTACTGGAAAGTTGACCAGCAGAGGAGACAGTACAAATTATAAACGCTAGTGTTACGGGAAGATACACCTTGTTGATATACACTCATCCCAAAATAAGCCCCGAAACAGAAAAATGTGAAGTATTTGGGTTTCAAATGCTAAGGACACTAAACACTGTGATACAAAATGTAAACCCTAACACTCAAGAAAATAACTTTTTAGGAAAGTTTTTTCACAACATATAAAATACAAATTAAGCAAAATCTAATGTGGGCTTTTCTGCTAATCAACCATAATGTGATACTGGATAAATTATTTATCCTCTCAGTTTCCTCATCTGTAAATTACACGATTAGACTGAGCAATTTTTGATGACTTTTTCACTAGATGGTACTTCAAGCTTTTATAATCTCTTCACTTCAGCGCCACCTTTCAGAAGATTTTTTTTTTGGTCTGTTTTAAAAACTTATTGATTAAATGATGATTAGTACAAGGGGACTTTAGAAAAGTATGTGGAGGGCTAGCCCTATGGCCTAATGGTTAAGGGAGCTGGTTATCACATGGCTAACTGCATAGTTTGAATCCTGGTCCTGGCAGCTTACCGGATGCATGCATTTGTGTGTCCAAAATCCTGACAAGATGGAGAAGTGGAGAAGGGATTGTGGCATGACTATGCATCACTGGGGGATGCATTCTCCCTGTGCCTCTTACCCTGTCACCCTCTCATGAGTACATATGCCCTCTGCAAAATTTAAAAATAAAAGGTGTGTAGATAAATGGAATTAAAGTATAAATTTATTTTGGTGTAAATTTTTTTTAATCCGTGCATAGTTTTTTAATAATACCCATTTTCCATCAACTTTTTTGAAGAACTTTTATACATTATTCATCTTTTAATATTGAAAGACCCACAGCAGTTTCTGAGAAGTGGCTGCTCTGAAATGAAATAATTTCAAATAACTGTAAAGAAACTCAAAGCTGGTCTCATTTTTTTTTTTTTTTGATAAGGGTATGTACCTTTTTGATGAATGTTTTTAATACTATTGGGTCATCAGGTAAGTCTTGATGCATTTTTGCATAGAAAAATACATCATACTTTCCCAATGATCTAATAGATAAAAATACTTTGTTTAGGGACGTAATGGCTATGTCACTGAACTCCCATGTAGTCGATTGAGGGTCGAGTCCCAGACCCAGTGGCTTAAACTCACACTGGGTGCATGTGCACGTGTGCCCAAGATCCCAAGAGGAGAATGGAGGAGAAGGGATTGAGGTGTGGCCATCCCCCTGGGGGGTGACTTCTTGTTTTCTGTATCTCTGTCTCTCTCTGTCTTTCTGGAGAGTACATGTGCCCTATAGCAAAAACCTCTCCATCTTGGCCCCTTAGGCAAAACCCTCCCCAAAAAAAAAAAAAAAAAACATTGTTTAAATATGGGTTTTGTTTGTTAAACTTGGTACAAATATACATAATATACTGTCAGCATATTTTTTATCATTTCTTTCTGATTGACAATAGCATAAATTCAATACAATGTTAGTTTTTTAAAGGTTTATACTAGATCAAGAGACTATTGCAGGGAACCAGCAGTTAGCATAATGGCTATGTCGCTGGACTCCCACGTAGTCAACCGCGGTTCACGTCCCAGACCTGGTGGCTTAAAACTCAACGCCAGGCGCGTGTGTGTGCGTGCCCAAGATCCCGAGAGGAGAATGGAGGAGAAGGGATTGCGGTGTGGCCATCCCCCCTGGGGGGTGATTTCTCGCTTTCTGTCTCTCTGTCTCTCTCTGTCTGTCTAGCAAGCGCACGCACCCTATAGTGAAAATCTCTCAAAAAAAAGAGACTATTGCAGAGTTTTGAGTTATATACCAAGAAACATACACAGAGATACACACACCTCTGAAAGATTTATTTAATAGATAATCATCATAACATAAAAGATATATTTTAAGTGTTCATTTTAATACAGTATATATGATTTTTGTTCTATTATTTTGTATATAGAATTTTGTCATGTTAGAAAAGCTACAAATAAAAAAAAAAACACTTTCCTGAATAACTTTACATCCTACTTCATAAAAAAAATTGATGACAGCTTTTTTGTCCTTTAACTTGATCCCACGTCTACTAGCGTTTTTGTACTAATCTTTACTGGGTCTTGCTTTAACTTCAGAGAATGGGGTATCTCTTGTGCAATACCAAACTTCCACTAAAGCCCTGATACTTTGCCTATTTTGTTTTAGAAATTGACATAGTCAAGTGCAATCCCTTCAACCTTTACAATCTTCCACCTTAATCCATACCCACACTGTCCCAGAGAATAAGATGTCACATTTCAAATCCAAAGCCACAAGCCTTGATCCTTTTTCTTCCTGCCATCTCTAAAGTCTCCTTCTTCCACAATTCATTCTCTCTCTTGTTTCTCTCTCTTCCACAATCTCTCTTCCCTTCCCTCCTCCCCCTTCATCTTTAACTCCTCACATGATGTAGACTAGACTCTCTTTTCAAGACTTACAAACATATTAAATCTTTCTCATATGGAAAACAATTGAAACCTTGCTTTAGATCTAAGCACTTTCCCAACTGCAAATCATGTCTATTTCTCTTTTCTCATCCATTATGACATAGTGGTAGGGTACATGTGGCATCCAGCGACATAGCCATTACGCCAACTGCTGGTCACTTACCATTTGTTTCTTAAGTTATACTGATATATGACTTGACTTTCAATAATCGTGGGTTTAGTGTTGCTAGATTCTCCCATGAGAAGATGACTATCAATGTTTATATATATAATTCCTACTTTTTTTAACTAATGATTTCATTTTTCTTAAATATGCTATTCAGATCAAACAAAATCTCTCTGCAGGCAAGATTTGGTCCATGTGGTTACTCTGCAAACTCTATCATTTATGAGGAGAAATAATTAAGATGAAAAACTGGTCACTCTAATTATCCAATCCTGTCAAAATTGTGGAGTCCTTTGCATGTGTGAGTGAGGACAAAATGCATTTAGTGTCTATCAGAGTCAAGTTTCATCTCTCTTAATAACACCAAAGGCTTTGAGAAGTCTAATATGAATGTGATCGTAAAAAAGTAATGTTGCTACACATACATTCTTTAGCATCTCAGATGTTACCAGTACCATGGCTTGAAACAAAATAAAAGTCTATGTAGTATGGAGGTTAAGATGTTTGATCCCACATGGCCAACTATGTGGTTTGAGTCCCAGATCCAGTGGCTTGAAAATCATGCCAGTGTGTGTGTGTGTGTGTGTGTGTGTGTGTGTGTGTGTGTGCTCAAAATCTGGAGAGGAGGGAACCAGCAGTTAGCGTAATGGCTATGTCGCTGGACTCCCATGTAGCCGACCGCGGTTCCCGTCCTGGACCTGGTGGCTTAAAACTCACGCTGGGCACGTGTGCATGCGTGCCCAAGATCCCGAGAGGAGAATGGAGGAGAAGGGATTGCAGCGTGACCATCCCCCAGGGGGTGATTTCTCGCTTTCTATCTCTCTGTCTCTCTGTCTCTCTCTGTCTGGCGAGCACACGCGCCCTATAGCAAAAACTTCTCAAAAAAAAAAAAATCTGGAGAAGAGACTGGAGGAGGAGGGATTGTGGTGTGGCCATTCTCCTGGGAAAGTAATTTCTCACTTTCTCTCTCCCTCTCTCTGTCTCTGTCTCTGTCTTGCTGACAAGTGCATGCACTCTCTAACAAAAACAAAAGAAAGAAATAAAGAAAAAGAAAGAAAGAAAGAAAGAAAGAAAGAAAGAAAGAAAGAAAGAAAGGAAGGAAGGAAGAAAGAAAGAAAGAAAGAAAGAAAGAAAAAAGTCTAAAGGCAAGCTATGGTTTGGGACTTGCCTAACCTCAATAGTTAATATAGGCTGTGTGTGGCCAGGTTCTTATCAGAAAAGGACAGCAAATAAATACCTTGTATGACCACTACTCACCTCAGTTCTTAGAATAGATCTTTGAAATACTGCAATTTTTTGAAAATGTTATTTTAAGCTGATGAATGGTTTTATTTAGTTATATAAACCATATTCAACATGATGATCTTAACACATATGTAATCAGACAGAAACATTTAACTCCATCATGCTTCTAGTAGCAGTATTGAAAGTAATCATTTTTAGGAGCTAACAGGTGACATGGTGGTTAAGGTGCTAGACTCCCACATGGTCAACCATGGTGCAAGTCCCAGATCTGACAGCTGGAAAATCATGCCAGACACAGGTGAATGCATGCCCAGAATCCCAGGAGGAGAATGGAGAAGAGATTGCAGCATGGCCATTACCCCCGGGGGGATGATTTCTCGCTTTTTCTATTTCTGTCTCTTTCCAGCAAAAGCATGTGCCCTATGGCAAAAACCTAAAGAAGAAATTTTTAAAAAGAAATAAAGTAATAATTTTTAAAGTTAAAATGAAATTTAGGTTATTGTACTTTACTAAGACAATTTGCTTGTTAAAGCTTTACCCTAAATGGTAGAAACTGTACTAAACAAAGCATTGAAATCCTGTTGCCTCCTATTCACCTCGGGGGATGAGAGTTTCTTTTGATCTAAAGAGGTGCACTAAGTTATAGTGGTTACCTAACCTCCAAGATCTAAATAAATGTACAGGACTAGAAAACCAAAACCACAAAGTATTTAAGGACATATGAAAGTTTTTGTGCATTCATC